ATGGTGCCTACTTTGGAGATTCATATCTTACAATTGGTTAGATGAATATTAGAGATTAAAGGCTTGTTTTGAAGCTGAAGTGTCCCTCTACACATTAAAGTACTTGGGAGCTCAATAGAAAGTCCAGAAGGCCATTTTTGAACCTGACCAAAAAGCTATGCCAAAACTGGGAAACTGCCTGAAAATGGCTAAGTCTGGCAACGTGTTTGTCAAGCCTACTTTGGAGCTCAATTTGAGAAGCATGGATGCGAGTCAAGTCCAGGGGCCTCTACACGTTAAATTACGTATTTTTTTATACAAAGGCAAGACATTTGATGAAATATTGAATATCTTTAAGACTTCAAACAAAAGGCTCGAAGTTGCTACGAAGGCTGTTTTTCTGGCAACTTGCTTGTGCTCGAAGTCTGCCAGAAAACAGCCTTCGTAGCAACTTCGACCCTTTTGTTTGAAGACATACAGATATCCAATCTTTCATCCAATGCCTTGAATTTGTATAAAAACATACATAATTTAACGTGGTAGAGGCTCCTGGACTCGACTCGTATTCATGCTTCTCGAATTGAGCTCCAAAATAGGCTTCACAAACACGTTTCCAAACTTAGCCATTTCCAGGCAGTTTTCCAGTTTTGGCATAGCTTTTTGATGAGGTTCAAAAATGGTCTTCTGGACTTCCTATCGAGCTCTCAATCACTTCAATATATAGAGGGACACTCCAGCTTCAAAACAAGTCATTAGTCTTCAATTTCCATCTAGCCAATTGTATGATATGAATATGCAAAGTAGTCACCATGAACTGTTTTTACACTGAAACAACAGATTAGGTCGACCTGATCCTATATGAGGTCGACCGAATCCTAAATGAGGTCGACCAGATCCTATATGAGGTCGACCGAATTCTAAATGAGGTCGACCTAATCCTAACTGAGGTCGACTGGAAAGTGCAAGTCACCGTGACATGCATGTCACCGTAGGCACACCCTAAAGTTTATTGTTGGGATTTTAATTGAGTAATAAAATAATAATAGAATTAAGGGGTAAATAAGTAAATTCACCTCCCTTTTACGGACAAAATGACGAAAAAGTTAATAGAAGGGTACCTTAGTTAGAATTTGATAATAAAAGGATATATTTTTGCAAAATAATAATAGAGAGGTACAATTGTTAACTTGTAATAGTAGAGGCGTACAAATATTATTATCCCTATTAACAGTCTATATATTATTTAGTGTCTCACTCTTTTTTTTATGAACCGTAGATTTTATTTAGTAAATTATATAATGTATGTAGTGTTTGGTGTTGTGATACATATCTAATATAATTATTTATCTCATCCGATTTAGATCGGATAAGGAACATGTATGTCTCGCATCTCAGGTGCTTCTCCTTCGGCTGTGGCGGCGAAGTCGCCCGACCTGCTCTCACTGTCACTACTGAAACCCAATAAAGGAGTGTAAAAGAATATAGATAATAGCTTAAAGTTTATTGTTGAGATTTTAATTGAGTAACAAAATAATAATAGAATTAAGGGGTAAATAAGTCAATTCGCCTCCCTTTTAAGGACAAAATGACGAAAAAAATAATAGAAGGGTACCTTAGTTAGAATTTGATAATAAAAGGATATATTTTTTCAAAATAATAATAGAGAGGTACTATTGTTAACTTGTAATAGTAGAAGCGTACAAAATGTTATTATCCCTATTAACCGTCTATATATTATTTAGTGTATCACTCTTTCTTTTTATGAACAGTTGATATCATTTAGTAAATTATATAATGTATGTAGTATTGGTGTTGTGATACATATCTAATATAATATTAGATGTGGCAGGGAGGTAGGGTTTAAACTCTCCCTTTATTTTAGTTAATATGAATTTTTCTCGCATTTTTTAGTTTCTTTTTGTAGATTGGTTACAATTATGTCGTATTTCTTTTTAAAAAGGGCTAATACCACTACAACACCCGAACTATCACAAAAATGCCACTTGTATCCTATTGTATCGAATATTCCATCTGCTTCCTGAACTATGATACTTTGTGTCATTTGTATCCTGTTAATTTCTTTGACCGTTAAAAATAACGGTTGACCAAACGGTGGTCAACGCGTAGTTGACTTTTGTTGACGTGCCAAAAAATGTGTCTACCACATAGATGCCACGTCATTGACATCATATTTTTTAATTCAAATTAAATAAAAATTGAGTTATAAGTAAAATAAAAAATTCTTATAAAATTAAAATAAAAAAAAATTATTTGCTACCCACCCCCACCCAATCTCCGCTTCTTCCTCTTCCTCTTCCCACTCTTCCTCTCTATTCCCAGTAACTTTGTCGCCAACCATTTCTTCCTCTTCCCCCTCTAATTCCTCTCCATTCCCAGTAACTTTGTGCCCACAATTGTTGCGGCCTTTTACTGAGAAATGGAAACCTGAGCAGAGATAGCCTAATCAGGAACTCTCGCCACACAATCTTCCTCAATTAATCATACAAGAATATGCCTTCTCACTCTCAGATTTGCTTCAAACAATGAGCAGCCAAGACCCCAGTCCCTGCAAGCCGCAAATCAATCCAAACCCAGAGATCAATAGCTACCATGTGAGAAGTATAGATCTAGCTCCGACGAATTCATAGTTGCCACTTCAAACCCACATCTATACGTCCACTTCTCGCCGATCATGGAAATCGCCGGCTCCGACAACCGACATCTACTCCACCGTCGTGGTCCACGATTCCTCGTCAGAATCCGAGGCGGAGCCGAGAGCCAGAGCCAAACCCTCTCGCAGACCAGAGACCGACGACATCTACGCCACGACGGTGTACAAAGGCGGAGCTGCCGATTTCGGGAAGAGCGATGGAGAAGAGGACGATGACGACGAAGAATCGCTGCCTCCGCTTCTCAAGTGCTCGCCCAAGGACTTCGGAGGTGGCGACCCGCTGGATGAACGCCGCCCTTAATCTGAACGCCGCCGCCACAATTCCAATCCCTAATTGCTCTGTCCGCCATTTACAGAGAGTTCCAGATTGGAAGTAGAGAGAGAGGGAGAGAGAGAGGAAGCAGAGAAGCAACGAGAGGGAGTTAGTGGAGGCGGTGGGAGAAGGGGAGTTGCTAAGGAGAGGGAGTGAATCGTAGATCTGGAGAAGAGAATTGACGATCTGGAGAAGAGAAGCAGGGTCGCCAGTGAGTCGATGAGAATCGACTGATTTGATTTATTTTTTTATTTTTGTAATTTTCCACCATTTTTATTTTTTTCCTTATTTTAATTATTTTAGATGAAAAATAAATAAAAATTCCACGTCAGATGCCACATCAACGCTGGCTGGATTTTCTGTTAAATGCTAACGGTCAACACCGGTCAACACTAACGGAATAATAGTTCAGGACACAGATGGAATATTGGAAACAATAGAACACAAGTGGTATTTTCCGGATAGTTCGGGTGTTGTAGTGGTATTAGCCCTTTTAAAAATATCATCTTTACTTATATCTATATATGATTAAATCGCACTATATTTTACTATTGGATTGTAATTGAATTTGTGAATTATGAAATTGATAAATATATGATGTATGAAACACATGATTCTTTTATCATGAGTTTAGAAGAAATAATTCATTACTTTTTAATTTAGACACAATTTGAAGGGGCATATATTAAAAATTTGGTGACCTCTTTGTATGCAATTAAAATTCTCTCATAAAATTTTCTTATCAGTATTCTAGGGAACTTTTTTTCTTGACCCCCCTAATCAAGAATCCGGGCTCCGTCCCTACATTGATTAGTCTCTCTGTTAAATATATTATATATCAGTCAAACTAATGGAAAAGGCGATTTGGTATGTAAATGGCATATCAAAAGTTACGTAATATAAATGACACACTCCCTAAATATTGATATTTTTAGTGGTATTAGCCCTAAAGTTAAAGATGTCACTATTTTTAGCACCCCTGTATCAATACAATGCTATATAGCATTGGTGCTATATAGCATTGGTGCTATAGGTTTTTACCTTTATGGTACAACTTAACGTGTACCTTATGTGATGGTACAACTTCAAGTTGTAAAGTTGTACCATAACATATTGATACAAATTCCTTTAACCTAAACTTGTACATTTAATGTTATGATACAACTTCAAGTTGTACATTAAAGCACCAATACTATATAGCATAGTAAAATTGCTCCAAGTCAATATATCTTTCAGTTAATTGTTGTGGATGAACCAAGAGATTTCAGTAATTTTCTATTCATTTACCTTCAGAAGAATAGACAGTCATGTGATTGACACGCATTGTATATTGGAAATTTTTTTTTGCAACGCCTAGCTTACCTGAAGCTGAATGGTCTCTCAGTCTCAGTCTCTTGATTTGATTTGGTGTTACTCATTTTTATGGATTTCTTTTAACTTAATTATAACGAATTAAGAACAGGCACTTAATGATAAAAATATAAAGTTTAGGGGCCAATGTATACAAATATGTATTGTGTTGCTGAAATCAATACAGCCAAAAGGCAACAACATGTTAGGATGGAACTCTATTGCGTTTGCGACACAGTAATTTGATTCTTTTTATTTCCAATCGGTAAACATTCTTCCTAACGACATGATATTTTTGCCTAAAGGAGAATTGTAGAGTGGCCATTCCTCTTCGTAATTCGTTGCAACAACTGCTTCTCGGCTTCTCCACCTCAATTGGCAGAACCAGCCATTAATGACAATCCACAAGAGGAGGTTGCCACTTTTGAAGATGAATTGGCTATGGGTCATTCCTCTTCTGTTTCATGTATGTTGTATTTTTCCATTACAAACGATATCATGTCTAGGAACCACCGAAATTATCGTTTGTTTTCCTTCTCATTTGCCGAACTGTAGGCATAACTTGATATGGGTTAATTGGATGCTTATATACTAACCTACCCTTCCACAACTGCTCTATTCATCAAATGTGCTCAATTACAAATTTCATTTCTTTTGCTATGTGGATTTTTTTTAAACATTCAATACCTTGTTTCCAAGAACTCACCAGTTTATCATTAAGTTTTAAAAGAACAACATAGCTACCCTCTCTGCAACTACAAACCTTCAATCACTCTTCCCATACAGGCTGGACACAAAACTAGTTTATTCTTATTATTAAACCACTATTCCATGGACCAACATCAGACACAAACTGCTTACAACATTTTGTATTGAGCTTTTATGTTTATAATAATGCGAATTACATATCAATATCTGCAGAGAACATATATGAGCGGATAAGTCAGCTAATTAATTAGTTCTTGCTTGGCAATGGTGTATCAGCAAACTTCCATGTGAGCTGATAACTAGCAGATCTGACTCCAGCAACATCATCCACAGGGACCGCCGCACTAATCTCCTCCACACCTTCCTTTGTCAGCTTCACTCTCAGCGATTCCATGTTGCTCTCCAGATTCTTCAGCTTGGTTGTCCCTTCAGAAACAGAATAAGGAAAATGGCCAAACAACAAGATCAGCACAAGCGAATATGGTTAGGTTAAATTCTTAAGAAAGGCCATTGTGGTGTTTAAGGGACTAACCAGGGATGGGCACCACGTCATCTCCTTGATGCAAGACCCATGCAAGAGCAAGCTGAGCAGGAGTGCAGCCATGTTTATTTGCTAGCTTCTCGACTCGGGTGTAGAGCACTCTGTTCTTCTCTTTACTTTCTTCAATGAACCTTGGATGCATCCTCTGCAACCACAGCATAGCAAAAATCTTATATAATGCTTTGCGCTCTAGAAAACTGTAATATGTTTTCAGGTCCATATGCAGGAGAATCCGTTTGAGGTTCTTACCAAGACAGTCTCTGAGGGCAAGCTCTCAGTGATTCCTTTCCCTCCAAAGAAGCCACGCCCAATTGGACTGTATGCAACTATCGCAATCCCAAGTTTCCTACAAAGAGGGACAATTTCTGGCTCAATATCACGAGTCCAAATTGACCATTCCATTTGCACTGCAGTGATGGGATGAACAGCATGAGCTCGCTTGATTGTGTCGGAACTGGCTTCAGATAGTCCAATGTGCTTGATTTTGCCTTCTTCAACTAGCTTCTTAAGCTCTCCAATCTGCCAAAAAGATGGAAGAAAGAAAAATTCTCAAACGGAAATCCTGTCTAAAAAGCACAGGGCTTAAATGAAACTGTTAATATTAACGGTTTATCAGGATTCAAACAAACTCAATTACCGTTTCCTCTATGGGAACCGAAGTGTCAACCCGGTGCTGATAGTAAAGATCGATGTAATCCAAATCGAGACGCTTCAAGCTAGCCTCGCAACAGGCACGAACATAAGCAGGATCGCCTCTAATCTTAACTTCTTTGGGATTGAAGTTATCAAAGGTGATCCCAAACTTTGTAGCCACCTGGACTTTCTCTCTTGGCAATTGCTTCAGTACCTGCCAAAAACATCACATGGGAAGCTCTAAAAACACTCCATCTCTTGATGGGTACAGTTAAAATCGGATCTTTATTCTTCCAATAGCCAAGTTCAGTTTATAAGAAGGTTGTATAAATAATGTACCTTGCCAAGCAGAGTTTCATTGGTGTAAGGGCCATAAGCATCAGAGGTGTCAAAGAAAGTTATCCCATTGTTAAATGCTTCCTTGATGATTGAAATACCCAGATCTTCTGGCACTGGAGCATTGTACATCCCTGTTAGCCCCATGCATCCAAACCCCAACTTCGACACCTAGGAATTCAGAAAACCCATGTCAAAATTTTGTGCTCCCGCAGTCAACAATCATCCATACGTACTATCAATTGATTATAAAGCTTCTACAAAAATAAAATGATATTGCAGCAGCGATTATGACCTAGAACGACCGAAAAGGAAGAAAGGAAATTGCAGAAGTGGGTTGCAATTGGGCATACCTCTAGACCTTGGGTACCCAGTTTCACTCTGGGAATCTCAACCCCATGATTTCCTTGAGACATTTATTTCTAGAATTCCTCGGTCTCGCTCCCTCTTGGCTTTGTTTGAGCTTCTACTAAGTGAGAGGATCCTTGAACTGTGAATATAATCAACCTATATATAAGAACCAATATGGAATAGCTTCAGAGAAACAAAGATGGATTGGAGATGAAAAACAAAACAGAGATGGAGCCACATAAACCAGCTGACTGTACGGTGAAATTGGGATTCTAGATGAAAAGAGTTGGAACAAAACCATAACATCATAATCAATGGCTAAAAGAAGTGTCGATGAAGTAAATCTCCTGCGGAAGAAAGAGATCAGACTTCTCCAGAAATTTAACATGAATGTATAATTGAATAGCCAGCAGCTCCCACAATTTTCTTTCACAAACATCTTTCTTCCTCCTTCCTTTCTAAGAAACTAAACCAACATCAACCTAGAACTGTCCCTCAACAGTCAACATACCCTGCATGCAAATCCTTAGATTGGGCTAACCATTCGTGGTCTCGCTATGAAAGAGTTGTGTAGACTCCCAATTCGCCGTTGATTAGTCTGACTATTTCACAGTTCTACTCGAGATTTTGTAACGAGATGTAAGAACCAGGGAAAGGAGCAGATGGAGAAATAGAGGAGAACTACTTACGGTCAGGGATCAGAAAGGACAGACTGATTTCTCGAGGAAGAAGACGGCAACTAAATGCAGGGTGGTAACAGCCACAGCAAGACAAAAGTAAAGAAGATTTACGAGGCGATGAAAGCCTCCTTTTGCTGCAATGTCGGTCCTAATTTCTGAAACCTCCGATGATGTTTACTGAACGGAGGCTCGGAGGACGGAGGAGGGAGCACGGTTTCACTTTCCAGAAGGTATTTTCTGAAAAGTAGCGGTGGAGAATGAAGTAAAGAAGTTAAGCCAACGAAGTAACAAAATAAATAAAAGGAATAATGATAATTAGATTTTTTTTAACATAAAAGGAAATTAAGGAAAACATAGGATTTTTTTCCATACATACTGCATTAAAAAGATATTATTCAAATTATGGTATCTTTTAAGAATATTTCCGAATCTACGCTTATTGGGGCGTGCGCGTCCCGATTGGAGTTTCCAAACGCAATTAAGACAAGTTGGGTGCATGCATCAATTGAGTGTTAGTGTCTAGTAAAGATTAATTAGGGTGGGAATTGAATCGTCCCGAATATCAAAACAAATTTCCACCTAAGGCCTAAGTATAAACATTAGATGGGTGCAATACAGGCCAAGTATGTTTAAATATCAACTCGGGTCGGTCCATGTACCCCTACTTCTATTGTTTGAAACATTATCTAGCAGATTGGTTTTTGGTTGAAAACTATGAGGCTTAAATCAAAACAAAGCAAAGGTAAATGGTTTGAAAGCTCTAGATGAGAAGGATCACTAGGGTGTCGCTTCCCTCTAACTACTACCATAGCACGTGGACTCGAATAGGACGTTATGGGTAAGGCAATCGTGAACCACTAGGAGGTGCAACTATGGTGGAAGACCATGCTCTCAATTGCCAAACCAAGGGATACATTATAGGCTACTAGAGTAGCCCTCTTGGTTAAGGCCACTGAGGGTTGACTTACCTTCTCTCTCAAACCGAATGTTGGACGGGTTAATCACGATTAACCTAGTCGATTAATTCAAGATAGAGGTTTTCCCTACATTAACCTAGGTAGGTGGCTTGAAAAGTCCAAGGAATCTCAACTCAATTGAGCCTCTTTTGGAAAGGGGGGTTTCCCCTCTAACCTAGGTTAGAATGGCCAATTAGATAGCTAATTACAAACATGCACAATAATCATAAAAAAAATACCTCAATCATTAAATTAAACAACACCCATAAACAATCATTCAATTCACACTACAACTACATGGCAAATAGTTAGGGTTTCACAACACCCAAGTGAAAAAGGTAACTACTCCATGCTAGAAATGGGAAGATTCTCTTGATCTTGTGTTGATCATCTCTTGAGAAGATTCTTCCCAATTCACCACTTGGAGGAAACCCTAGCCTCCTTTCTCCTTTGGTTCGTCTTTTCTCTCTCTAAAATCTGAAAAAGAATGTACTTTCTCACTCTTGGGCTCTCCCTCTCTCTTCCTTTTAGCTCACGTTTTATACTGGGATCGGTCTCAGTTCACGGCTGTAACACCCCACCCAGAATCTCTATGGTTGAACCCGTGGTTCAACCGCGCAGCCAAATCCTCGGTGTTACTGGTTGAACTCAATCATCTCAAACATCATATCCGATTATTAAACACAAACATAAACCGTTATCATACAAACTCATTATTCGATCCCCAACCCACTTATTGAATTTTACAAGATGTGGGTTATTATTGAAAACACTCAAAGCAAAAATCCTAGGTGACCATGACAGAACAGTGTTCCAAACTACCTCATGATGGTAGTACAGAAGGATAGGGCAGCCTCAGTGGTCCGATCCTAGTTGCACCTGCGAGCCTGAAAACTGACGTGGGTCAGCAACTAAGCTGTGTGTGTGGATCTTTCCCACGACCTAATTTTGGGACCGCAATCAGCTAATCAAACAATCATAATCAATCATGATTTAGTACTCTAGATGCCATCTTAAATCATCATATATAAATTATCGATCAAATTATCGAATCCACTAACTCATCATCACCAAATCAATTTATCCAAATAAGATAATCACATAATTTTACGAACACATAATCAATGCATGATATGAAAATTCCGGTTAATTATTAATGGTGCCAAGGTCACCATACACTTATCCTCGCTCGAGCAAATCATCATCTGTGGTGCTCATGCAACCACAACACTCAATCCGTGGTTTTTAACCACAACATTCATCCATGGCGCTCATGCAACCACAACACTCAATCGCATAAGCGAGCTAAATCTACCCACTCTCAAGGGGTGAGGGTAAGTGCAGGCCCTTTCTATGTCTACGTGAATTAATATGATCATGAATCAAACTATTTCCATTTTCTCATCCATCACAATCAATCCGGAATCAATGTAGTCTCATGGACTAACCAGTCCATATATATATTTCCCGTCGATTATCAATTCGACGTTTCAAAAAAAAATCAACTATTTCATCATCCAATATCGAATCACATAAATCATTTCATTCTCCAGTAAAGCTACTCAGCAGTACCATATCGCCATTCCTCATCCAAAATTCATCAACAATTTCACGAAATAGCGCCAACGCAAATAATTATAAATAACCCTGTTGCGGTTAAAAATATTCTTAACTCAAAATTCACTTTCCTTCCTTAAAATCCTCACAAAATTCATGTAACTGAATTTATTGACACAAAAATCTATTTAATCTAGTTCTGTTCATAAAAATCAATTTAGACAATATAATATCAAAAATCTCGTATTAACCATTATTTTACGGTAACTTAAATTCCAACAAAACAGTAAATCCAAAAATCTCCCAAAAATACAAGAACCTCCATTTACCATCCTAAAGCAGGCCTGTCCAGTTTTTATATTTTTCAATAGCTCAAAACCATGAAAATAATATTAAACTTGGTCTTTACCGCAAATCTCGTATTAAGTTTGTTTTTACCATTTTAAAGATAAAAACTCCACCCACTGTCTAATTTATCTTTTCCAGACCAAAATCCATTTAACAATCCACACTAACCATTTTAAAGTGATCAAAATCTTAAAGATAAATAAAACACGCTTTTACCGAGCTTTCCGTAAAATTCATCGTTATGCAGTTTTTAATCCGAAAAAAATTTTCAATTGAAATCTTCTGCTCAATCTGCCCCAACATCATTTTAGACAAACAAAAATATCTTATATCAGTTTTAAACTCAATAAACCCAACTAACCATTTTTACGGTGAAACTTGTCAAATACCGATATTTACACCGTAAAATTCATAACAATCAAGAATAATCACCAAATCATCATATCAACAAATAAGTTATCACCCACAGTAATTCATCCATCCAAATATGCAAATCAAGCATAAACAATCGATGCAATAATTAAGGTCCCCTTAATCCCCACACACCTTAATTTAGCTGCTTCCAAGTCGGGAATTAAGTTCTAAAATTCCAGAGATTGGCTCTTAAAAATTCTCCTCGTTTCTACGGTCCTGTAGGCAAAAACGGTTCATCGTTTGGACGTCAAACGAAGAAACTGCGAGCTGATCATCGTTAGTACGAAATTAGGGATTAATTCTTAATTTTCTGCTGTCCAAAATCTGCAGAAAACTGGAAATTCCCTTACTTCAAGTACCAACTTCCCGGCCTTGTTTCTCCATTGTCTGAGCTCGGAATTCAATTCCGTGAACTCTGTGATGCTCGTGGTGACTTGCTCTTTGTAACGGTATCAAGCTTCGAAGGTTATGCTGCCTATAGTGGCACTGGTTTGGCTGACGAAAAGGTTACGACAAATGTTTCGGTGAATGATATTTGGTGAGTTGGTTTGGCAATTTTGGCTTGTAAACAGGTTTGTATAGGTTCTGAACCTTTGCTGGGAATACAGAGACTATTCTAGGCTTTGGTTTCATATTATTTCTTTTCTCTTCTCTTCTTGGTGTTTGTACAAAGGCAAAAATGGAGAGCTAGCTTACCGGTATTATAGAGCTCTTTGATTCATGCTCTTACCTCTTCATTTACTTTCCAGCAGATGGAGTAAAGGCCTGGGGCGGCCTTCTAAGGAGCAGTAGCTTTGAAAGGAAGAAGCTCAAGTTCCAAAGCCGGCTCCATAAACAAACTAGCTGCTGGTGCACTGCCGACGTCATTAGCTCATTAATGACTCGGCTCCTTTTGTATCACTGAAACCAGCATAGTCTAACTGGTTAGGTTGTTGAACCTTTTCGTACTGACCAACAGGTCAGAGGTCCGATTCCTACAGCTAACAATTTATTTTTGTTGCACTTTTTGATGTTTGGGGAGTTTTTAAGTGGTTTCGTTGATCCTACCTCGTATAGGATAACTTCTCGATTTTTTTTCAGTCTCGAATCGTGCAATATACGTCCGCTACTAGGAAGAAAAAAAATTATCCGAGGTTTTGGATGTTACAGCTCTCCCCCTCTTAATTAGATTTCGTCCCCGAAATCGGTACATTCAAACTTCGATTAACTCAGCACGACGACATGATAATTTCCTTGGCCACCATTAAGTACCTAATGGCTTGGGAAATTTTTATTTCATACTTATGCTCTCACTCTACATTGTAGGTTATATATTACAATGTACCCTATCCGTGTCGATCTAATACATGAGGTACTAGGTCGACATACGTTGAGCATAAGCCTCAACTAGCTCGGGGTACTTCTTCTTCATACTCTCCTCGGTTTCCCAGGTTGCAGCCTCCTCCTCCTGATTACGCCATATAACCTTGAGCATTGGGATTTGTTTGCTTCTTAACACACGTACCTGATGATCCACAATGCTCACCGATTTTTCTTCATAGGTCAAATCTGGCTCCAACTCCACCCTTTCGGGTTGTATCACATGAGATGGATCGATATGATACTTTTTCAACATACTCACGTGGAATACGTTGTGAGTTTTCTCCAGAGATAACATCGTAGGGACCAATGTAACGAGGCGCTAACTTACCCTTCCTTCCAAACCTCATCAATCCTTTCCATGGGGATACCTTTAAGAACACCTTCTCTCCCACATCATAGCTAACTTCTCGAGCCTTCTTATTGGCATATAACTTTTGGAGATCTTGAGCTACCCGCAATCTCTCTTTGATCACCTTCTCCTCTGTATCTTGGACCATTTGCGGTCCGGTAAGAACCCGAGTACCCTCAACATCCCAACATAGCGGGGTACGACACTTCCTTCCATACAAAGCTTCAAATGGTGCAGCCTGCAAACTACTATGGTAATAGTTGT